GTTTGCTTCACACCCCTCAGGTTTAACAAATGCTATTACAATCGCAAACGATATTTTGTTTAGCAAACCTGGTTACAACGCCTTTCCCGTTGTGAGAAAACAGCATGAAGCATGCAGCGAAGACGCGAGGGCCATCTCTGTTGATGATCCCCTTTCCCAGTTATGCATAATTAGCCTGCAGATAAGACGGCTCACGAGATTGCCGAAGGTATCATTCCTATTGAGAATATAACGCTACATAGATGGTAGTCACCATAAAGTCGTCGCCATGGTAGCCGTTGTCACTCAACTCGACTACTTATCGTAAGTGCTGGATCCGTGTCTATGCGGGACGGTGAAAATGAGACCTTACCTATGCACAGCAACAAAATCCAATGACCAAAGTCAGTCTTGGATGCCCCTGACCATATACGGTACCGTTTATCTCTGCTACCCGTGAAAGGAAGAAGGCCTTCGCTGCGGAGTCATTTATTCGGAAATGCCAACTGACCGGTTACAGACCATTGAACAGGGAAGCAAAACTCTAATCTGCATCTTAGTTACAAAAACTGGACACAGATGTTCTCCCGACCGGGTCTTCCTAGAGATTCGTTGCCTCCACTCATTAGTCGGTCAAATCCAAGCAAATGTTACAAAGTGGCCCCACAAATTCCGCAACAGAATTCCCTTTTTTATTCGACGCAAAGGGAAATTCTACGAACAACACATACTACTCGCGTGCCTCTCGATCAGCAGTATCACCGTTACATCTGTAGTGAACACCTGGCCAGTACTCATGCGGGCCGGTAAAAATGAGACCTCAACTATACGCGATAGCCCAATCTGATGGCCTGTAATACCCATTGCTGTGCTCAATGTCGCCTAACCCGGCTGCTTATCATACCTGCTAGTTCCGTGCCCATGTGCAGCGTTGATTAACCGGTAACTTTATCCAACCTGATCTGTAGTACACGTAACTGTGCGCGTTGTCGCTTGTCTATGCTAGTTACGATAAACAGCGGGCCAGTATTTATGCGAACCGATGAATACGAGGCCCAAACTATGCACACATACCTAATCCAATGGCGTACGACGGAACTCACGCACAACTAAAACAAGTTTGCATGTATGTGAAACACCGCACTACACCACCTGCATCATCTTTTATGTTGACAATGAAATTCTCCACGTTTGTTAGGGCCCAGTTTATATCCCCCGCCCCACTTTTGTGTTTAGTGTGTATACATGAACTGACGTTTATTTGTCCTTACCACTTCACCCATTTGGCCTTGAGGTCATCTGGCCATTTGTATCTGACTTTGCACGTATGACTGTCGCATGTGGGAGCCTGTTTGCTCCATTGCTCTGTACTTTTGTAGTCCAAGCGGACTGTTTGTTGTGGACGCGTATCTACTGTCGAGGTTTGTATAATTTGTGAATTTCTCTTACCCTAATAGTACCGTATAGAAACCCAGCTCCGACTTTGTTTTGCCTACCCGGAGGTTCTGGTATTACGCGTCACTCGAAGATACCGTTCGACCGTTACTGTAGTCGACATCTTACGTCGTCTTGTTTGAAGGAAAGATGTCAACCTTTGGAACAACTGTGAAGGAAACCGGATCCAAGGACACGAGGAAACAATGCAATGCAGTTTACTGCGCGTCCCGGTTCTTCTTAGTCACTATGTGCTTCTAGTCGTAAAAGTAGTGTAGCTAAGAAATCGTTAGGGTTGCTCAGATCCAGGAGTACCGGGTTAAGCTGGAGGTCGAGTTCCAGCGGGCTCTCTTAGAGGCGCACAGGAAAACTGAGTTAGCCAAAATTGAGCTAGAGGCCGAAGAGGACTCGCATGATGAGGTTTGGGAACTAGTGGCCTCAAATGAACGATTAGCGGGGTGCGTGAAACAACGTCAGACAGAGGAAAGACCACTAAGACATGTTGGTGATATCAAACGGCCATCCCCAGGGTCAAAACCGGCCATTTCCGTCACTCCAGTATCAGCCACTATGGACCTACCAAAGGTGGAACTATCACAATTTGATGGGAATCCGTGTCATTACTGGAGGTTCACCCGCTAATTTGAGTTATACATTGAGAGCAAGGTGCGAGACACGGGTCAGAGGCTCCTTTATCTGATCCACTACTGTCAAGGCGACGCGAAGGCGGCCATTGAAGAATGTGTGATGCTCCCGCCGGAAGTAGCATACTCCAGGGTACGGGAGATTCTACGCAATCTCTTTGGTCCGCCTCATATTATCGCTCACTGTCTACTAGAAAGCCTGTTTCGTTTTGCACGACAGACTACTGGAGCAGCCAGGTCTTTGTCGGATTTGTGTTTAAAAATGCGCAGTTGTGAAATTGCGCTGACGTAAATGTGTTACGTCTCAGGCTTGCACTCACTAGCTGTTGTAGAGAGAATTGTGCGTTCTCTTCTCTCACTATTGAAGCACAAGTGGGCTGAGGTGGCAGATAAGATATCTGTGAGTGACCGGGACCAACGTTCGCAGACTTGACGGAGTTTGTGAACACGCGCTCCCGAGTTGCGAGGAGTCGGTTCGGGCAACTGGCTCGAGAGGGTGACGTAAGACGCCCCTCTGTAACGCCGACTTCTACCAACCAAACCCCTAGATGGGATGGTTATACCAGTTTCCTTACTAACATCAGACCAGACGCAGACGGTCATCCAAGTGCTTGCGCATTATGTTCACAGCCCCACCCAATTTCCAGTTGCCAGCGCTTTTTGTCTATGAAAGTGCCCGACAGGTGGAAATGCATACGGGAGCATAATGCATGCTTTGCCTGTTTAGGAGACTCCCACATGGCCAAGGATTGCAAGCCAGTAGTTCGATGCGGCCAGCCGGGTTGTAGGGGACGACATCATAGTCTGTTACATACATCACAACCCGGAAACAAGGCTTCGACGCCCTCAGAGGCGGGGGTTTTGTGTGCCTCAACTCGAGGTAATCTGCTTCCGGCAAGCCTAGGAGTTATTCCTGTCGAGGTTGACAGTCCTGCAGGAAAGGTGACAACGTATGCAATTTTAGATGCTGGGTTCGACGTAACACTAGTAAAGCGGGACCTTTTGGTGAAAAATGGGATTAGGCTGCTACCCACGTCTATGGCCATTGACGCGCTGGGTGTTTCCATGGGATGCACATCGGAAGCTAATGACATCAGGCTTTTATCAATGGATGAAAGCCAGTCGATAGATATTGACAAAGCATTCATCGTTGACAGCTCACCTGTGCGAGCTGTCCCATCTATCAAAGAAGCGGCTCGCAAATGGCCTCACCTTAAGGAAGGCGCCTTCGAGGAACTGACTGAAGACGATGTAGAATCCTTATTGGTTGTGACGTATCCGAAGCGCACTGGGTCTTTGACCAGCGCCTAAGGGGCAAAAAGCATCAGTTTGCTGTGAAAGCCTTACTCGGTTGGATACTTCTTGGTCCGAAAAACGGGACAAAGCAGAAGGTCGTCAGCCACTGTATAACCGGGTGCAGTCAGGGCATCCATGAACATTTGAAGCGACTGAACAACTCGGAATTTGCAGACACTTCAGTATCGAAAGCTAGTCTCTCTTTAGAGGATCAAAGAGCACTGTTGATATCAGAGACCCGTGCAAAGCGAGTAAGTGGGAACTATCAGCTACCGCTCTCATGGAAGGATAACGCACTTGCTCTACCCGATAACTTCCAGGTGGGTAGAAAACGTTTAGATAATCTGAAAAATAGCCTGTGCAAAGATCGTGTTTTACACGGAAATTACGAGAGAGTGATTCGCGCATGCCTGGAGAAAGGACACATTGAACGGGTGGCGGATGTCCACACATTGTCAATAAATTCAAAGCAGTGGTATCTCCCACACCATCCGGTTATTAGCCCAAAAAAGCCGGAAAAGATTCGGGTTGTATTTGACTGCGCTGCCAAATGTCATGGTGTGTCCCTGAACGATCATCTGTATCAGGGCCCTGACTTAACCACAAAACTTGTAAATGTTATGCTGAGCTTTCATTCGGAGGAAGTCGCTGTGGCAGCCGACATCGAAGAGATGTTCGTACAGGTCAAGGTTGACCCCTGTGATAGGGGTGCTCTGAAGAGCCTTGTAGCACAGGCTAACCGATTAGAGGGAAATGATGTCATGTGCCCACTAATGTCTTGGTTCTCCTGTTGGATGAAGCTACAGAAGGTCGAGGCTTGGCTATTGCGTTACGGGCAATATCTACTGATTAAGACGGGCAGAACAAGAAAAGAGGCTTTACATTCCGGTGTTACCAGAGTATCCGAACTCCACCAAGCACGTAAATATTTGGTAAAGATCGTGCAATCCAGTCACTTCGCGCAAGAGCTGCATCAGGTCAACGCATCTGTACTGGTTGCGAAGCGTTTCAGCTTATGAAAATTGTCACCTGTTTTGATTGATGGCATTTTGTGCGTGGGGGCAGACTTAGTTACTCGATCTACAGTCAGTCAGTAAAGTATCCGGTTCTTCTTCCAAACGACATCCTGTTACTGCCTTGATCATATGTCACCTTCATGAATTAGAAGGGCACTGTGGAGTGGGGCAGGTCTTGGCCTCTATTCGAAAGCGATATTGGATTATCAATGGGACCGCTGCCGTCAAACGAGTGATTGGTGCGTCCTCTTTATGCAGGCGCTGGTCCGCACAGCTCAGTACACAAATTATGGCTCCATTACCGGCAGACAGATTAGGAGTGGGCTGGTGTCCCGTCGAGTGCGTGGGAGTGCACCACTTTGGACCTTCTAAGACCAAACGCGGCCGTTCGCAAGAAAAACGCTATGGCTCTATCTTTAGCTGTCTGAAGACTAAAGCAGTCCGTTTGGAAATGGCAGGCAACCTGTCGACCGATTAGTTCCTACAATGTTTAGTACGCTCCGTTAGTAGACGTGGCAAGCCCACCGAAAACTACAGTGATAATGGTAGGAAATTCGTTGGTGCGCCAAAGAAATTTCGGGATGATATAAAGCGATGGAAGCAGAGTAAATTATCAGACCGATTTTTGACTATGAATATACAGTGGCACATCAATCCACCAGCAGCTAGCCACAGTTGTGGTGTGTGGGATCTTATAATCAGGTCAATACGACGCATTCTTTTATGTCTATGCAGGGAACAGTGTTTGACCGATGAAAAACTGAACACGCTCCTTATACAGGCAGAACGGATTCTAACTAACCGACCTATAGTCCCACTTTCACCAGCCAACAACGAGTTGGAGCCGTTGGCTCAAAACAGTTTGTTGCTCATGCGGTATTGCCCCGCGGTACCCGGTCTCGACGGTTTGGCCCCGCGTTATCATACCGGTTGCGAGCAGGTCATTTATCTCGCTGGCATCTTCTTTCTTCGTTGGATAAGGGAGTATCTGCCAAGGTTGCATGTGCGTACTAAGTGGCTCAGAGCAACTCAAGGATCGAAACGAAAAGACTTAGTTCTGGTCTCTGGTGAGGATCTGTCTCGTGAGAAATGGCCTCTAGGGGTGTAACGGTGATACTTCTGATCGAGAGGCACGCGAATAGTATGTGTTGTTCGTAGAATTTCGCTTTGCGTCGAATGAAAAAGGGAATTCTGTTGCGGAATTTGTGGGCCACTTTGTAACGTTTGCTTGGATTTGAACGACTAATGAGTGGGGCAACGAAACTCTAGCAAGACTCGTTCGGGAGAAGATCTGTGTCCAGTTTTCGTAACTAAGATGCAGATTAGAGTTTTGCTTCCCTGTTCAATGGTCTGTAACCGGTCAGTTGGCATTTCCGAATAAATGACTCCGCAGCGAAGGCCTTCTTACTTTCAGGGGTAGTGGGTAGTTTTGAGGCGAGCCCAGATGGCTTGGTAAGAGCCCTGCATTTTATAACGGTGGGCGGCGTTCTTGAAGGAGATATTTGAAAGCTGTGTTTACTGGAGGGACGCGATTATGCTTCATCGAAGTCGGCACTTGTGGCAGAAGTGGACTCGGACCATTCGTGTCGGTGTCTGATGGGTTACCTTAGAATGGAGCTGAGCGTAGGTAGAAGGCAAGAACCGGGGCGCCCGCTGAATCAACTCGGAAAATTTGGCGGGCGGTGTATCATCCTTTATGTTGACAATGAAATTCTCCACGTTTGTTAGGGCCCAGTTTATATCCCCCGCCCCACTTTTGTGTTTAGTGTGTATACATGAACTGACGTTTATTTGTCCTTACCACTTCACCCATTTGGCCTTGAGGTCATCTGGCCATTTGTATCTGACTTTGCACGTATGACTGTCGCATGTGGGAGCCTGTTTGCTCCATTGCTCTGTACTTTTGTAGTCCAAGCGGACTGTTTGTTGTGGACGCGTATCTACTGTCGAGGTTTGTATAATTTGTGAATTTCTCTTACCCTAATAGTACCGTATAGAAACCCAGCTCCGACTTTGTTTTGCCTACCCGGAGGTTCTGGTATTACGCGTCACTCGAAGATACCGTTCGACCGTTACACCACCTGTCCAACGCGATCAGAAACATAAATGTGTTCTTACATAAGCTTTGTTCTTCCTCTGAGGATTTCCTCGGCCAAGCGAAAATATCCGCCTCATCAGAGCACTGCACATCCAAGCCAAATCCTCTCAAAAATGACGTCCGTTACGGGGCTGTCCAAATTCCGAAGTACTTCAGTGCAATGGTGTCACGGCACTGCTATACCCAGTTTGATAACACTCCCGTAACTGCACGCTTCCCTGTCTTGACTTTACCCTAACGCCCACTTGTTCCATCGCATGCAACTACAGAAAACTCACGTTTTATTCTGAGTGTAATCTTCTGATCATGCCTGATGGTACGCCACTGATTTGTTGGAATCCACTGTGGGCACAAAGTGCACACCAAATGACAACAAAATTATCATCATCACAGATAGAAGAGCAAGAGATGCCAACAAGGACTCACCAAATGGACGTAATATGACGCCTCAGGCGCAACTAGTTTTGCAAGGCTCCACGCTTTTCTTTAGGCTGCAACAGCTCCATTCCAGAGGCAACTCATCGCACAAACACACAGCAACACCAGATATCTCTGATCTCATGTCTCTGCAAGCTCTAAGCTACCTTAGTTGCGCAAAATTTAGTCATATTATCATTTATTTTTGAAGAGCATGGTCACAAACATAAAAAGTGAGTGCAAGCGATGAATGCGAAAGAGTAACAGGAGAATATGGGAGAAAAGAGAGAAACGTCTCATTCGAGATCATGCCAAGGGCAGTGCCAGTCTGATGAGGTGAATCCCAAAGTATGTAAAGATTTTGGTATGGGAACACGCGTCTAAGGACCAAAAACCAAAGAAAGGACAAACAATGGTGAATGCTCTTCAAGGCGCAGTGTGCGCTAGCACAGTCAAGACTCGCCCATCAGGCACAAAGTGACCGTCATACTGGGTCTGGTGTGAGATTAAATGACAAAAATGTACATTCAACGCCATGTGCCGCGCATAAAAGTGTCATAAGTACGCAGAGACCCCCAATGGCAAGCAAACACAAATCACTGACTGCGACCTTAGGAAGTCCCAGTCCAATAACAGCCTTAGCGGATTGAGGAAAGCAGATCC